CCAGATTAAACCCACATTCTAAGTACCATATCCTCTCCCTTTTGTACCTGAAGTCTACTTACGTAGCACATCAGCGACAGTAATCTGATTGTAAACTCAAGGTATGGATTTCAGGGCATGTGGTTCCAGAGGTATTTTGGAGATGCTTGCACAGTACATATTGCTGACCTGGCTTATGTTTTTTGTACACATTTGGAAGGTGGTCAAAGTCTTTGTTATCACACAGTAAGACAGAGCTCCTGGAGGCCACCAGGTGTATGAGCCAACACACTGTCCAGTTCACCTAGGAAGCCTTACACACATCAGCCAATATGGTGTAATGAAACAAGTCCTGGAATGTCTCAGTATTTTTTTAATTACACAATGGTAATACAAATTTTTATTGGAATCTCAAATAATATGTCCATCTCTTTATTGGAATATGTCTATTTATTGCCTTTATGCCTTTGCTGTCACAGAAATGATAACGTCCCTTATTATGTTCATGGTGACTGTAATTACTTGCACTGGGGCAGAGTAGTTGAAAACAGTCACACAGTTGTGTGTGTTTGTTTGGCTTCTCTTGCCACTGGCATGGGGCAGACTTGCTCAGTAGTGACCCCGTTGAACTTTCAAAGTTTTTTTTTCATGCTGGTGGCGTAAAATCTTTCTTCATAGCTGGAGACAGCCTTGAACATCTGTCTTAGTTTTTACAATAACCCTGCTGAGTCTACAGTGTGTGTCTGACCATGCTCTTAATGTCTGGAAGATGTATCCCAGAGTTGAGAGAAATGTTATTTTGATTTTTTTTTTCCTGTAAGGATAGACTCACTGGCAGCAAATGAAATCTTTCACACTTCTTCTAGAATGAACGTTAAAAATAAATGTTTACAATCCACTGAATCCTAATGCAAGTCAGCACTTAGACAAAATATTCTGCAAAATCAATGGAAATTTTACTTCTGTTAGAGGATGAGAAGTCTTTCAAGTGCAAAGGTGAACAAAGGGCAAAACTAAGGAGGAATCTTTTTTAGATGATTTATAGGTTCACTAAAACACAGAGATGAAACATGAAAGTCAAGTAGAAAATGAGATACCCACAAGAAACCTGCTTCTTGATAATACTGATGTTAGCCTTTAACCTTAAAAATCATGCATGTAAAATATTATTAATTTTAGACGTGCTCATTATCAGTAGCAAACAAATTGGGAGTGTGGAAATCTCTGTCCTACTGGGATTTCATGAGTGCTTTAAAAATCTGCTGAAGACAGGCTGTTGGTGGTGATCACTTTCTTGCTCTCATGCTAGCTGAAGCCCAAGGCTCTTGGGGATTAATTACAACAGACTCCCAACCTGCAGATATTTTTCTGCAGACATTTTTTCTCTGTCTGCCCCAGTACACAGGCTGCACACATGCTGTGCACTAGGCATGTGGGTAGCCTACCCAGAAACTGCACTTTGTCCTCCATCCAGTGTGTCCAGCAGTCCATCTCATCCTGGATGGGTGTGTCTCTCAGCACTGCTAAGTTACTTGCGTCCTTATTAAACAGCAAAATAGCATAATTGAGGTAGGAGCTGAGCAGAAGTGAATGGATGGCTATAGATGGACCAGCTCCATGCTTTCGTTTAAAGAAGGCTTTGTTTTCTGTCTTTCTCAAAGGTGAACCTCTCATGGGAACATTAGAAAGTGCTGTTTCATCTCCCCCTCTCTTCTGTCTCTTGAGAAAGCTGCTTAGACAGGACAAAACCTCAGTCCATACCACCTGCTGAGCTGATGCTTCAGAGCCTTTTGGTTTGCCTTGCAGATATGAGGTGGCAGCAGGAGGTATAGTGTTTTTATTTGTCTACAAGGTGCAATGTGAATATTTTCTTTGTAGACAGTAGATTTCTTACAAAATCTGTTACCTCCAGAAGATGTGAACTGCAGAAGCCTCCTCTGGTTCCAGTTTCATGTTAACAATTGCTCAAGGATTTATTTGCCTAGATCTTGAATAGCATTTCTCACAGGAAGCAGATGTCACTTGTACTTTATTGGTCTGTGCTGGCTTCCAATTCAGATTTGGTTTTACTGGAACAACTGGAGGGTGTTGCTTCTGACCTGGAGCATTCTGGCTGCCTGGGAGATATTATACAAGGAAATGTGAGCTAAAAGCTGTAGATTCAATTGAGAAGTGGAAGAAGAAAGGTGTTCACTGTGCAATTCTCATCCTAGCTTAGGTCATCCAAAGCCAATCTTCTTCCTCTCCAGAATTATTTTTTTCCATTGATTTGGGGTTTTTTTTGTTGAACTTTTGTTGCACTCATTTTTTTCCTATCCAGCTCTGTTCCATGCAATTTAAAGCACTGGCTTCACCAGCTGCTTTGAAAACAGGTATTCTGAATGCTTTGTGAGTCTTAAATTACAATGACTGAGGCTTTTAAGAAAATAGAAATATTATGTGTGTTTTAACATTCAGTGAGTGACCAATGAATTATCTCTCTAAGTTTGGTAAGGCAGGTAGAATTGTTCTTATTTTAAAGGGTATGGGTTGGTTTGTTTCAGACTGGTTTTGAACTTCCTCTAGTGTGAGAGAGCCTGTCTGGGACAGCAGCAAGTTAGAAAATAGTTTGGTGTTAAAAGGCATCATTCCAGCTGGAAGCAGGAGTAGCAATGAGTTGAAGAAACAGGTGGAACTAGTCTTAGTTTTGTGCAGGGGGGACAGTACAAAAAGTAAGGCAGGAGCTATAAAACAAAAGGCTGAAGGGAGAAAATATTTTACATTATCCACAGCATTTTGTACTTATAAAGATACATATGCAAGAGGCTACAAAGGCTCTTAATAGTGTGCTAAGCCTGAGCTTTGATTCAGTCTATCAGAGAAGCACAACTCCATGGCAGTTCAGCAGAACCGCAGCTTATGTGAGTATTAAATGCAGCAGCAAGATTGCGAGAAAGGACCTGTGCTCACCAAGTGCTGGAGTATTGCTTTATTCTTACAGAATCATAGAATATCTTGGGTTGAAAGGGACCTTAAATATTGTCTAGGTACAATCCCCCTGTTGTGTGCAGGGACTCTTTTCACTAGACCTGGTTGTTCAGTGCCCCATCCAATCTGGCCTTGAACTCTCAGGAATGGAGTACCACCACTTTTCCTGGCAACCTGTTCCGGTGTCTCACCACCCTCTCTGTAAAAAATTTCTTTCTAATACCCAATCTAAGCCTACTCTCAGTTTAAAGCCATTTCTTCTTATCATGTTGCTAAATGCTCTTCAAAACAGTCTCTCTCCATCTATTTTGCAGACTTCTGGTGCTTGAAGGCTGCAATTAGGTCACTTTGAATCCTTCTCTTCTCTGGGCTGAACAGTCCCAGTTCCCTCAGCCTTTCCTTATTATCTTCTATGGATATATCCCTGATCCTGTCGCCAGTCTGGCTGAGACATCCATGCCCTGCTTTCCCTTTTGCTGAATTGTCACCGAAGTTTGAACTTTGGCTTCTTGTAGCCTTTTTCCCTGGGGTGAATCACAGCACTACTTCAGAGAGCCCTTCTTTGTTTTTTCCTTTGATTCTGCACCTGTGTCTCTTCTCACAGAGCTATTCCCTAAGCATACTAAGGAACATCACTAAAGAATTAATTTAGTTTTGTCAAGTTTCTGGTCTGACCCTTAATTTAGAGCAGTCGTTTCAGTCTACAATAAGCTCTGTGTTTCTGCATGCCGCAGTGAAAGAATTACGAGCAGTCCTCAGCCATGTGCACTCAGGATGCTTTGGTAGCCCCATGGGACAGGTAGACTTCAGTGCCTGAAAACTTATTATAGAATGGGGTACAGTCAGTATGTTATTTTCTGTGCAACAGTGGGTCTGCCTATATGTAAAAGCTTTTACATGATTCACGGAGGCCATTAGGAATGGAGTGGTATGCCATCATTTCAGGCACAGAGCTCTTCAAAATGAATGGCTTTTTCCATCTCTCCCCAGGGAGCCCCGAGAGCCATTCAGCATGTAGGTTGGAGGATACTGTTCATAAGGCTTCAATCACAGCATCAGGAATGCAAAGCTTATTGCTGGGATGAGCCTGTAGCTCTGAGTCATAAATAAGGCAAGACAGCTAGATGATAAAACCTGAATTTCCTTGCTGAGGAAAAGGTGGACTGATTTTAAAGTTTGGCGACCTGGAACCTCTCATAAGCATTTGGAGCACATGTTGGTAGAGGGTCTAGAGCTAAACACAGTGTTCTGAAGTCATGATGAAGTAATCAGGCAACAGAGCAGAATGAGAAATAAAATCTCTTTTAACTGACTCAATCTTTGATAGATTTTCTGTGCTTTTGTCTTTGTCTCTGTTTCTGGTATTCATTGCTACACCAGGATATATCCAGTCTAATTTGCTTTCTTTTTATTTTCTTTTTTTTCCCCCTCATTCCTTCCCAAAATTTCATATACCCACTTGGTTTTTAGTCCTCTGAATAAAGCAGACCTTCTGGCTTTGCATAGTTGGCCTTGGAGGCTAACAAGAATGTGCTTTCTTAAGTGATTTTGGCTTCTGAGGTCACAGACATAGTGGAAGAACACCTGCTCTCATCTTGCTTCAGCACTTAATCCCTGTCCCAGACAAGCCTAGAAGGGCACAACACAGGACATGAAGAATAATATAAAAAATTGCTTAATAACATTTTGGAACGTCTGGAAGTGTTCATGGATAATGATTTTATTTTCCTGGTTTTATCATGTCCACACCAAGAAAAAAGATAGACCCTTTTTCTTCAATTACTGCATTTGTTGTTTGAGAGATTGAAAAAAATATGGATAATCCAAGGATTATCCAAAATATGGATAATGCAAGCAATGTAGAAAGTCTTGAAGGACAGTTTACATGTCCTGTATGCCTTAATGCAAGCAGAAATTTCTGTTGGCAAATATGGCTTTGGTAAGGCCTTTCAAGACCTTCTTGCCTGCATATATGTGTGTGTGTGTATCTGTGTGTGCACATTTACTTGATATTTTGCTTTAATTTTTTCCTAATGGAACCTATTTTCTTTCAGGGTGGCAGGACACAGTGTATCCAAGAAGTCTGCCCCATTCTTTCATGTCCCCAGCACCTCAGTCACATTCCTGCTGGACAGTGTTGCCCCAAATGCTTAGGTGAGTGGATTTTTCCCCTAGGAATTTTGTAATTAATACAATATGTTTGTGCATAACATCTTTTAGACCAGTATTTCATAAGGCTGGTAAATTGCAGAAGTTGAAAGAGACTCTATTGCTCTGAGTTTATAATCCACAGATTTTGAACAGGCACTCAGGGTCAGTGTTAGGGTTGTGGTGGGTGGTACTAAGCAATCAGCTGTAGAAGAACATTTGAACATAGACCAGTTGCCTTGCTTAGAAGAACAAATACAGGGATGATTTCCAGCTTCATTATATATTTTACAAAGGAGGTTGAGGTGGGAGGAAATGCCACTCCAATTCTTTGGAGTTTGCTGCAAGAAAAAGGCCTCATAATCTCATATAATTATTTAAGTGAGCATTTGCATTCTTAGTTTTCAGGAAATCCAGGTCAGAGGAAACTTCTGAACTTCTGCATTTTTAGAAACTGTTGTCAGAGAGGCCACGGATCCAGGAGTCCGTCTCATGATTGCCTTCTAAAAGTGGAATCACACTGTCATCCAGGAATATTTTCAATTACATCTTTCCAACACATTTTAAAGGTGTGAGTCATAGGCCTCTAAGAAGGGCTAGTTCTTCCAGGTCATGACAAGCAAGGCAGTGACAGAATAAGGCACTGCCTTGTTTTGTTCTTACTTTGTCCACAGATCCCACATGTTAATATTCCATCTATTTCATAGACAATGAACATCCTACCAATTAAATTGACTTTAATCTGGTCTATGGGGTTATAACTAGGTTTGGAAAAATTTCAGAGCCAATTACGCCCAGTTCTTCAATGAAAACTTTTTGTAGTTTTGACTACATTTTTATCTGAAATCTTTCAACAGATCTAGGTTAGGGATATAGAAATATCTGGCCTTGGAGCCAGCAAAGCTATATAGAGTTCTGGGTTCTGATAATACTTAACGTTTTTGACTGATTGAAACAAACCTGAGTTTATTTATTTGCTAATTGAGAAGCGCTACAGATGAATAAAGGTCTGCCTGGAACATTCAACTGCAGTACCAGAGAGTAATGCAGTAGAGGAATGAAATGGAGAGAACAGTCCAAATGCTGAGCTTCTGTTTTGGCTGAGGACATTTTTCCTTTCCTTCTGAAAACTCCCCTTGTCCTCTTCTCCCCATGCTTTTCCTGACTGAACTTTCCCCTTCTTGAACTAGGCATTCAAACTGCAGCTTTAATTTTTTACTTCTTCAAGGGGATCTTTCTTCAGTTTCTTTTTTTGCCTCAGAATAGAAACAAATTCAGTAATAATAGTGAATTTATTTTTACGTGGTTTTTACTCTAAATCATTTCATATACCTGGGAATAGATTATGTCTATTTACAGGAAAGTGTTAAAAGTTTTGGTGCAGAGGTAAAGCCAAGGGATGAGGGATGAGTAACACACTCCATGGTAGCTGGGAAAGAGAAAAGTTTCCAGGGGTGCTGAGGCATGGTTTTTAAAGTATCATGTGGAGGACCTCCCTGCAATTGAATTCCTGATATTCAGCATACATAGCTTAGAAGAATGCTGTGGACTCTACTGGGACTTGAATTATTAGTTTAACTAGTGGTTATGAGCCAGCAAAGACAACCATTAAGCCAATATCTTCATCACCACATCTTTTAAAGTGATGCCTCCTTTGACAGTGGTTTTTAACCAACTATTTGAACTGGGTTGGCCACCCAGAATTGTGCTGAGTGGTTTGCAAGGCATGGCAATAGGGTGTGGGAGAGAACTGGACTTTTGTTCACTTGCTGACACAAGCTCTGCAATTGAAGTCCTGGCCCCACAGAGAGCAGCAGAAGTGTTGTTACAGGCAGGACTATGGCATGGCTTTGCCCCTAAGTAGTGCATGGATATAGAGCAGTTTCTTTTAGGGCTACTGAGCATCCTCAACTGATTCCTTATGTCAGTTCTGCAAGAGAAATTAAACCTCTTGAGAAAAACACACGTCCAATGAAAGGAAGGCTGGCTGTGCAAGCACAGATTCATTCCAAGTAGCTAATTTGCATGAGAGTGATGTTCAAATTGTGTCTAACTGAAGAAAAGCAATCATTTAATAACTTTTGTTTAACATTTAATTTGTAAAAACTGAAGGCAAATCCAATGGAGTTTGCTGTGTGCTTATCCTTTTTCCACTTATATCTGAGAGGGAAATGGAACTTTTTTTTAAGATGCTCTACATTTATCAAGAATTATTGAAAAAGGAAGGAATTACAGTGTGCCAAGCCCTGAAGGTTTGAAAGCTAAAATATTGGCCAAGTACTTAGTACTTCTAATACGTACTTAGAGTGGGCATTCCCTGCTTTGGATTTGATGCCTATTAAACATTAGACCTCAGAAATTATAAGGTAGAAGAGTGACAACCACTCATAAAAGAACTTATTAGTTGGCTGCCTCCAAAAGTAAACAGGGCAATTCAAAATTAGAAAGGCGAGTATAGTGTTTTTGTGAAAAGCTCATGTGTATGTACTATAATGCTCTCTTTTTAAAAATAACTTACTGGGAAAGAAGCTGAGGACTAAGAGGAGCTTACAGGAATGAAAACTGTTGTAACTTGGATCTGAATGTGCTTGCAGGATTGCATGACTTCAGGAAGGATTTGATTTTGGTGCTGCCTTCCCTGTTTAGTGCCCCAAACCCTTGCCTCACTCCCATTGAACCGAAATAGTTTGCAGATTATGGAAACTAAATGTCTTTTGTGGCCTTCATTCCGTTCATAAACAATGCAAATTCCTGTATTTCTTGCAACCTTTTGTGAAAACGTGGTACAAAAATCTATCTTAATGAGATGGAACAGCATCTGTGATTTTTTTTGGATCAGTGTCACCAAGCTGATTTAGCTTGGCTGCTGTGAACCCTTGAGATAGATATGCTAAAAGAAGTTAAGACTGCTCTATTTGATAAGTTATTGCTTTAAGTTAAAGACTGTTTAAACTAGTTTAAGTGTACCTACCTTAAGAGTTTGCAATGCTTTTTATTCCTTTAGTTGCACTGTGCACTTTATGATGAGAAGGAGAAGAAAGATTTTTCCTTTATAAACATGCTATATATCATTTATATTCCATCCCACAGTAGAATTTGTAGAGATGAATATGTACTAAAAGAATAGTGAACTGTTAAAAGTACATATTTTTTTCACACTGAAGTGGAAACACATAGCAAATGACACATTGCACATAAATTTGGTCTGGTGGCAATAAGCCCTACTATTTTTGTTGACAATGTGGCATATTTTCAACCACATTTTGTTTCTGTTACTGTTTCTTTATATTCAGGACAGAGGAAAGTGTTTGACCTCCCATTTGGAAGCTGCCTCTTTCACAGCAACGTGTATGATAATGGTTCCTCATTTATGTATGACAACTGCACAGTGTGTACATGCAAGGTAAGTCCATAGTGCTTTGATGTCTGCTGATAGTTGTCTGGCTTAGCAGTCGTTTGTAGGGCTGTGGAACTGTAAGCCTGATACTGTTCTTTGGCATCTTGTGTGGTCTCAAAGAATCTGAAGAGCACTTGCAGTTGTGCTAGGAAAGTTTAAAGCATTACTGGCTCCTTCAGCTGAGACATGAGGCCTCACCCTGTGTGATGCAAAATAAAGTTGCTCAAATTATGTGGTTCTCTTTAAGACTGCATTAGAATGGAAGAGGAGTTTCTAAATGATGAACTACCATGTTTCTGCCGAAGGTGTTTTTTATTTAGTTCCCTAACATGACTGCAACAACTTACACTTTTTTACCAAGGCAAAAAAATGAAAGTGCCACCAAATCAGTGAGATTTTGTAGGCCAACAGAATTAGAAGCTGGGCTTTAGCGTTACAGATCATGAAAGATTACCTTTAAATAATATTTATAATATAAAGAAATATCTATAAATAACTATATATTTTAATAATATCTATAAATAATATTTATTTTCTCCGAGCTGGCCTATTCAAAGCAGCTGGCCTGTAGCTTGGGTGGATGCAATGACTGAGCAAGCAGCAATATATAAGGACCCACAGGGACACAAACATCTTGGTGATGATTTTATTATTTCCTTTCACCCTTGTACCTAGGATTCAACAGTGATATGTAAGAAGAGGTGCTTACTTCCTGGTGAATGCAATAAAAACAAAGACCACTGCTGCAAAGAGTGTGTTTCATACATCTCTCCTGAGGAGGTGAAAGTGTGCAAGTTTGGCAATAAGATCTTCCAGGTAAGGTGGCTCAAAGGTAGGTGCCATTGTAACAGCCAAAACAGCATATGTTTGCTGTAAATTAGTATTGTGGTTTGTTTTTAGCAGAATCCTCACCATCCTCATTGATGATGGAACAACTCAGAGGCAAAGCTTTGCAAAATTTGACATCTTGTTTATTTTTTTCTGAGTTTGTGTAAATTCTGCCGATAGTCAACATTTAAAAATTAGTTCCTCCTTGAATGTGGTCTCCTCCTCTGTATGTAGATGTTCAAGCTGCTGTTTCATGACAATTGATGCATTTTTAGTCAGAGATACTAATGCTCTGCTTTCCCAAACAAACACTGATACTCACAGAGAAGATATTCTGAGTGGTATGTAGGCTTTATCAGCTGAGCCAAAGAGCCTTTTTCATAACTGAGCCAACAGGAGCTTTATAAAGTTCATTTTGGCTGATAGTTACTTGATTTACTATGTTTCACGTCTCTGCTAAGGACAGCACCCCTGACATCTTATACTGGGGTAGCCATGTAATAACTGTTACCTACTGCACTCTCACCCAATGTATTCAAATCACAAGAGGTTCCCTGCAGAACACTTCTGCTGTTCTTGAGACCCCGTTTGTTTTTCCAAGTGGTGCAGCTTTTTTTCACACTGTGTCAGAAAAAGATTCTGTCACCTCATGGGCCATCTGTGAATTAAGAGACCCTTGAATCAGATCAAATGTTAAGTCCTGTGTGAATACTTGGTTTGCTCAGCCAGAATTGCTTCCCATTTATTCCATCTTTTGTGTACATAGCAGAAGTGTTTATTCTGGAAATTACATGTGAACCTACTGTACTCTGAGACTATGCTCCATCTGATTGGCACTTTCACACTGGCGCCATTGTGCTTCACGAACAAATGCCTACTTCTTAGGCACCCAACTAAAATATTCTGCTTCTTGTGAAGATTTTATTATATTACTAATATTATATGGAGTGTGAAAAAATAACGAGACAGTACATCCATTTCTGGTCTTGTGTGCAAAAAAGTAAATTCAGTGTTGCTCTGTTGAATTCAATGGTCTAACACAGGTAGAATGGGTACAGCAAACGTGTTTTTGCACTCCTGTGCAAAACCAGCTGTAGGACAAAAATTCAGGGCAGCTGCATGCAGTCAGCTGTGATGTGTTCTGGTACCTTGGCAGATGCCTGGTGAGTGGTCATTAGAGACTAAAGAACATCAAAAACGCCAGGCAACAGAAACATGCCCTAGAAACAAAAAATATGAGAGAGGCAGCCTTTGATGAAGCAAGCTGAGCTGAATAAGTTAGGCTCCTTGGCATTTCAGATATAGTCTGTTTCTGTTTCTGGTCAGAACATCATGTTGAGGTGGGCACATAATTATTCACAGCTGTCTTGTTGAACTGCCTGTTCCTGTCAGGTCTATCCTCACCCTTCCTTCCCAGCAGCCCTGTAAACAGAAAACATGCACAGTTTGGCTCTAGGCGGGCTAGCATTAGACTGTAAGTGGGTGAGACAGAATGTTTCAGGAACCACACTTGGCAGATGCAACGCCATGTAGAAAGGAGCCAGGGCAGTTCCATAAGCAATTAATCCCAAGTGGGGACAAGACTATGAGGCATATTATGCTCTGCACTCCATATTTTCAGAACTATACATAGGCTGTCTTACCTGCTCTGCTTTTGAGAGATTCAGCACTGTATCTTTTCTAAATACTTTCAGATGTTTAGCAGATCAAATATCTGTGAAAGTGCTGTAGTGATCTAAATTAGAATTATTCCTGCCCTATGTTGAAATGATGCTACTACATATGAGAATAAATTCACTGTCTGCTGACATCTTAATCAAATATTTTCATGTGCAACAACTTAAAGATGTCCTTCAACCCAGTGAATCAGGTTTTTCTAATTATGTGAACTTAAATGAAAATTTGTAATAGGTGTGATCACAACTCAGATGCTTATTGGAGAGAAAACAATGCCTATAATCAGGGCACTGTTGAAAAATGCAAATGTGATTTGGTTAGCCTTGAAAAAATGAATTTCTTACCAAAAAGGCCAAAGGGAAGAAAACCTGGCTGAATTTGATCTCTGTCTTGAATCCAACTGGCCATGGACAGACACCTCAAAATAATTTAGACTAAACAATGACACAATGCCAACAGGGAAATTCATCCTTTCTTGTGCAATGATACATTGCTGAAATAGCTTCTGGTTGCCACCCCAGCTGATACTATATCATGTTCCCTCTTGCAGGAGGGAGAGATGTGGTCCTCTGTGAACTGCACCATCTGTGCTTGTGTGAAAGGCAAGACAGAGTGTCGCAAGAAACAGTGCATTCCAGTCAGCAGCTGTCCTCATGTGAGTTTTTAAAAAGAACTGTATTTTCTTGTCTTTTCTGCTCCAGCATTATCTTTTCCAGTGTTTCTTGGAAGTGTGTGCCTGACAGTGGGGCGTGCTGTTTGGAAAGAAGGGTCATCTGGAATGTTAATTTAGGTTGGCATTCCCCAAATGTGCTACTGTTATCCTGAATATGACCTTCCTGCCTCTGTCCTTGCTCTGGAGACTCTGTGCTCCTCCTCTCCTTCTCCTTTAACCTTCTCTGTACCAGCTATCTGTATTGGAACAGTTATTTTTGAGTTTTATTTAATAATTTTATAGAGTGATGAGGTGACTGTGTTAATTGTGTGTATATTGTTAAGGTAAGCCACGGGATGTTGTTGTATTTGCATTTCTCAGTGCATATGAGGCTTTTAATACTTGATTGAAAATGTAAAGTAGACAAATCGAAGAAAATTAGTTCAACCAAACCATGGTGCTTTCACTAAGGTTGTGGCCTGGGTATTTTTTTATTTGAAAGTCTGAAGTGAACCCAAAGAATGCTGTAATTGTAACTTAATGACATAAAAATTAGCTTTACTTGAAATCCTGAGCTAAAACCAGCCTTTGTTTCTTGGATTTCTGACACCAACAAATGATTTTGGTCTTATAGCTCAAGTTTTCACAAGATGGAGCTCTAAATAGCAACTCATGTAGGGGCAGATCTTTGAGCAAAACTGTAGAAGAGAGAGCCAAGTTCTTAGCATTACACCTTCTCCGTGTTTCCTTCTCAGTCCTGGAAGCCAGTGGGGAAAATGTGAATCACAGACACCTAAATATAATTTTTTTTAAAATTAAGAACTCTTAGTTTGTAAAATTTTATATGTGTAACCTTTTGACAGAAGTGGTGGTAGAATAAAGAGCCTGCACCTTGGCACTTCCCATTGTGGTGTGACAGTGGGCTTAAAGATCCTCGGAAGAGGGAACATCCTTTTCCTGTCACTCTGGCACTCACTGCAGAGGGCAGTTCTCCTCTTAAAGGGCTTCACACAAGATGCTGCATACACATCAGGAAATGTGAAAAAATTGAGCTATTCTTCTGGGAATATTATATGGCTCATGGCAGTCAAGTTTGCTACCTTAATGCCATTCACAGTATAAGCAGGAAGTGAGAGCTTGGGCTCTTCGGGTCTCACACACACTGCATCACATTTATATTTTCCTTGTGCTGATGCATTTTAAATGTTTAAGGTGCTGCTGAGATCAAGTAGCTAATGTGACTTAATAGAGGTCTTCAGTAAGCGTATCACTTCAGCTGTATCCATACATAAATTTGAGCATTGAGATGATCACTTGAAGTGGCTTCTAAAATGAAAGTAGTGGTGGGTAGAAATTCACCACTGACAGTGCTGCAGCATGGAAGTGAGACGTGACAAACTCATTCAGTGCTGCAATAGAATCTGCTCCAAGGCTAATGTGAAGTCCTAAACTGCCCTTGACCTCTGAGGTGAGTCCGCAAACAAGGTCTGGTTCCTTAGGGTTGGAATACCAGTTTTGTTACCCTGCAGCACCATTCCCCCAGTATATAACCAGTCAGCAAGGTCCCTACCTTAAAATGCAAGCTGCAAGCAAACCTACCCTCCTCCACAGGTACGGATTACATTTCTGCTCTTCCAAGCTAAACTGTAAGAAGTAGGAGAAAGAATATAAACTCTAGAGTAAGATTTATTTTCCTATTCCAAGTGGGTACCAAGTAGTTTTAAAGCAAATAATGTATGCTAATTGATTTAAATCTTTTACTTTTCATCTCTGCTCCACTATCTTTGATGAGACTTTCTGTCATAAATTTATAAATATCACTTAAACACACCACATTTTTCAAGATAAAGAAATGAATATCATGCATAGGGTTATGCTGCTGTCTCTGCAAACTGTAGATGTGTCCACTCCTTTTCTCTCTTCACAATATTTCTGACAGTAAGCAGTCTCCACGGACTATTGAAGACTGCTGTGGAATAAAATGTGGTTTAGTGTCCCTTCAGAGTCAGACAACATAAAGTTATCTCATTAAACATGTATTAGTATACAGACAACTGAGTGTGAAAGGATTGAAGATTCAAAAAGAATTTAGAATATTATTCCTTGACTTACACACTTTACCATGCAGTCTTAATATTCTTTGCATGATATTTCGGGTCGGTATTTTTGGTTATAGGATTTTATTTTATTTATCATAATAAGTTTTGACCACTATTTTTTTGTTGAAAGTATGGATTTCAAAGTGGTAATTCTGCAGAAATGTTTGTTTGTAGTATTCAATCTATTGTCTGCAGGCTGACATATCTTTTAAGACTGCTTCTGCCATTTTTTTAGTTTTCTTCATAGTCCCAGACAAAAATTTCTGTTTCTTTTGTTCTTTTCTTATTGGAGCATTTAATCCCATATGAGCAAGTGCAAGAAATGTCTTTCTTATATTCTTTTCATCTGCTGCAGAAGCAATACATTTTTCAAATTTAGTCCCTCCTGTCACATTTATAGTAAGATTGGTCCTCCTTGGCATTCTAGTAAGCCTTGTGGCTTGTGGTTTCTTTTGGTTACTTTCTGACCACTGACTCCACACAGATATTTCTTCTCTCAAGTTACCTGGAGTGCCAGCCTTCCAGGTGCAGTGCTGGCCCCCATTCAGTAAAGCTATTAAGCATGTGTCCAGTTCTGCTGAAGTTATGAGGCCCGCCATGTGTGCTGAAACTTAAAAACATGCTTAAATACTTTATAGAAAGGGAACAATCTCGGCATTTGGCAGGACTGAGTTTCAGAGATCCTTTAGACTTCTTCTTACTGAATTTGCGATTTACCTGCCCTAGCTCTGCTCTAGTCTGTTCCTTGCCTTGTGCCAACTCCTTTCTGATTACCCATCCCTATAATTTGTCACCTTGCCCCCTCTCCTTATGCCTGTGCATTCCTCACAAACATCTTAAGTCTGTGGTAATGATCAGTGGTCATGAGCATGTCTCTTTTTGTACTGCTAGAGGAGAACTTGTTGAATTTTACAGCATATAACCTTTTCTGAGCTACAAGGCCATGCAAAAGTTAATAGAATTAAATTCATGGCAGGTGAAGACATTTGCAGAGTTCGAGTCTGTGGATAAATTTTGAACCCGTGAACTTCAAGTGAGCTGAAAATTTATTCAGAACATGTTCTTCCATCTCTAGAACAGACTGCATATAATGTTATACACATCTGTTATTATTGCAAACAAAAAGTTGCTGTTTTTACTCTAGTGCCAAATGAGGCACAAAAAAACAACAGCTGTTGCTATTGCACAACCAAACAACCCCCTTTCCTCCAGCAATTAGTCTTGCCTTAAAAAAAATAGAAAATGAAAACCTCAGACACAAAATTGAAAGCCCCATAAAAAGGAAGAAAAATCCCTGAAAATAAATAGACTCAAATGTGGTCTGCTTATAAATATTCATAGGGAAAAATGGGATCACATCACTTAGCCCACTCCTAAGGGAACCCTCAATGCTAACGAACTCTTGCAGCACATGTTAGCAATAATGGGTTTCCTTATTCTACAAGACAAAAACAGGATCTTGGGCCAACATGGTGGCTCAAGTAACCAGCCTCAGCAGGCTGCCTTGGAGATTTCAATTTCACTTGAATTCTTGCCACTTACAGCTCAGCTGATGATTGCAACTCTTTTATTGAAACTGAGAGGTGAGGCTGTGTACTGCAGTGTGTGGCATTCAGCTGCATGTCTCCCTTCCTACAAATATGTGTTGCTATTTCTATGTGGTTTTTCTGTGTGGTTTTAAGGGTTCCACCTTCAAGGGGTTCTGTTCTAGCAGCTGCTTGGTAGGCCTCCCTGTTGCAGGCTGGTCCTCAGCTATTCTCTTTGACCAGGGACCTGGGAGTCAAACAAACATTTGAGTGATGCTCACTCTGCCAGTGCAACTCTGATCCAGCCCTTTTCTTAAGTCCAGCTCTGTCTCAAGGCTGTTCACATGAAGTTGCATATTCAAAAACAAACTTGCACTGAACTGGGCCCTATGGATGATGTGCCCAGGTGCATTTATGACCAAGGATTCATTCATGCCATGTGTGTACATCAAGCAAGAGCAGGATGGAACATGCTCCCCTCCAGTTTGCTAGAAGATACTTGGAGTTCATGCCTCCCTATGCACTTTGTCAAAACTTGGCAGGGCTGTAGGGAAAAAACAAGGCAGACAGCAATAGGGCTGTCTGTGCCCACTTCCCCACTCTTTGCATAGACCTGTCACCAATTTTTTGTCTGTTTTCACAAGTTTTCTGTACTGTTTAATGGGCAGGACAGCACAGCTCCATTTGCTCGCTCTTGCTGTCCTCACCTTGCTCACCTACTTGGTGGGAATAGGAGCAGTGGTCACACAGAGGGGACTTCCTCTGTGTTCAGCTGCTGTTGGGCAAAGGGTCAATGCTGGGGAGCAGCACAGTTCCATATACCTCTTCAGTCCCTGTGTGGGAATATGGGTGAGCTCCAATATCACTGTACACTCTGTTGTAACCAACACCAGCTTTTGCTTGGAAAAACACATTGTTCAGTCTGAAATTTTTTTGCTCGCTTCCTGCTTTTTCTGCTCTTCTCTGCTTGCTTGCTGATTAGGTAATTTAAGTAAAATCAGATAAAACATCTTTTAAACTGATGAAGCGTGAAAACGAACATGAATGTACATACACAGAGGCATGCCTACTGCACCTAGTCAGCCTTGTATAAGGCAAAACCAGAAAAGAGAATTGACTTCCTTCCTTCCTTCCTTCCTTCCTTCCTTCCTTCCTTCCTTCCTTCCTTCCTTCCTATATATTTTGGGAAGATGGGAGAAAAGGTACTGATCTTGTTAACCCGGTGACTGCTTTAGCTATCAGTTCAAATTTTACTAAATAAAGGCAGCTTCCTTCCTTCCTTCCTTCCTTCCTGGAAGATGGGAGAAAAAGTATTGATCTTGTTAACCCAGTGACTGCTTTAGCTATCGGTGCAAGTCCAAAATTCTCTCACACTCTCTAAAGAGAAAAGTGGTAACAGACGACCCTTTTAGTATTTAATATCTTATAAGACCTCCAGGAAGTTCATTGAATAGCTCTGTCTGTTTTTAGCACCTGATATTTGAAGCTGTAACCAGGACACTGAGTTCAAACACAACTTGAATTATTTTCAAAGGCTTATGCAGTCTTATAACATGATACAGTCATTGCTCCAAGACCTCTCTCATTAAAACAGCCTGTCTTTCTCCCAATTAGGGTAAAATCCTGAACAGAAAAGGATGCTGTCCGATTTGCACTGAAAGTAAGTCCTTTCTTCACATTCTTTAAATTCTTTTTTGTTCTTTCTGAGAAAATAAATATATATATTAATTTTTATATAAATATTTATTTACTTCTGTATATAAATATATATAGAAGCATGCTTAGTTTTCTGCCTTCTTTTTAGAGGTACCTAAAAGGCAAATGATTATTTTTAGCAATGGTTTTTGCCTCCCATAAATCTGTAATTTTAAAATAAAATGCCTGGCTATTTGTTTTTATTTTCTTTTACAAAGTGATGCTATTTTTGTCAAATCTGAGGTGCTGCATTTTGAAAGATATAGTTGGTCTGTGAAATTTGTAGCCAATAAAACAAGAAAATTAATAGAGTTATAACTTTTAGGACTTGGGTACATTTTACACCTGTAACTAACAGTCCAGCTATGTGCATATATAGTCACACCTTTGCAGATGATTTGTGAGAGTTAAAAAAAGGTGTGCAGAAATCTGAGACACAGTCTGGGGCAGCAGTGGAAAGTAGACTAGAAAACTATTCTTCTTTCTTTATGATGCTTAGTTAAACTCTTACATTCTTATCCCTTTACTCCTCTCTTCAGGAATGATCATTAAATTGCAATTTCACCCTCCTGGTCAGCAAAGGACTTACACAAATACTTATCTTTAAGCTTGTTCTATTCAAGTCAACAGGGAGAGCTGAAGTTAACAAGATACCATTACAAATTTCCTTCAGTACATATTTAAGTATTTTACCAAATAGGGACAGACTGCTAAAATGGGTTTTTATGACCTATAGGAAGGCTTTTGAAAGGAGAAAATGTTTCTCTTCTTTTGTTTAAAATCAAATGGTTTTGCTGTTCTCAGTTCTGGGTTCTCTTGAATTGTACAAATCCTGCATGCTAAATATCTGTTTTTTCACTCTGTGGCTCAATAATTTTGAAACGTGTATCTTGGGATAAAATACATCTAGCTTGCAAGTCTTCATTATCAAAATGAGAGCAAATACAAGAGACAACACACCAAGAAACACTTGAAATAATACTGAGCAGAGGAGGAAATGAAAGAGGATTCAACTGACTAGCAGTTGATTTCATGTCAGCTCAGTTTCAAAGGAGAAGAAATTTGTATAGACCTTTGCTCAGATATGACATACCATTAGTGTAATGAATTTTTCAATATCTATCTTGCCTCTTTTTTTGTTTCAGTCTCATTCAACCTATCTTGTGTTTTCTTCCTGTATTCTTCTGTAACATGAGAGGGGAGGAAAAGAGTGGGGCCAGCCATTCCATCAAAGCACAGGAGACCTCTACTGTAAGAGATTCAAAAGACAGTACAGTGACTCCTTCAGAAATACTGTCAGAGAGTGATGACTTGTGATAATTGTTTCATGGGAGAAGGAAATTTTAGTTCTTCAAAGTTAAAGTAACTTATCTAGGAGCCAGGTTACCTAAAATCTCAAAACTTCTTGGTGATATAAGAATGAAAACGAACATGCGAAATTAAGGCCAGATCATTATTGCTTGTTCTCCAGCCATGCAGATCTGTAAAAAGCCTGGCTCCATTTTCCCAGTGACCTCTTTCTATGTACTGGCAGCGAGCTATTAGGTCTCTCCAAAGGATAAACAATCTTGTTCCCTTATGGTAAGGGATTAAGGGTGTTAAGGGTCCTATCTGCATTGCACTGCCTGTACTTGAGCCTGAGAGGCTCGTCCTGTCTCACTGTCACATGCTCCACCACTGCACATGAAACAGAAGGGTCTTTTCTTTACAGTTATCTCACTATGGACCCATTGAGTACTTGGAGAAGAGCTGATTCCAAACTTTCATGATTAACAGGGCATTCTTGACTTTTATGGAGAATGTGAGCAAGGAGCGTAAATACCCAGTGTCATACAGCAGTGGTGGCTACCACTAGCTGTTTTAACATTGGTATTTTAACATTTGCCATTTGCAAATAATTAATTCCACCTTTGCAGCAGAAGTACTTTAAATCTCATCACGACTATCATCCAACAGTAATTGGAAACTTTGCTAATTCAGCCAGTTTCTGATAAGATGTGCACACAGCCCCTTCCCTCACCCTCTCACTCATGTTGATCCTGATCCTGTCTCCATATACTAACACACCAAACATTTCTGGTGCTCCAGCAGATATTAATTTTCCAACGTAAAAACAACATAGGGAGGAACAAGAACATACTGTACATGGGGGAGCTATGAGCACAGTTTAAATGCAGCCAATTTCTATGAAGTGGGTCAAAACCAGTCACGTTGTGAAAGGATATAGTTTAAACTGAAAAAAAAAAAAATCAAAGGATTATTTTCAAAGCAGTTTGTTGCAAAGAGAAAAAGTACCTCGTCTCCTAAAGGGCTGGAGAGTTTCTTTTGTCTACTGTTGCTGAAGTTAACTGTAGTTAGTTTTGGCATGTTGCTTTTTAAGCTCCATGGCTGGCGTACAGTTATCACTAATTAAACACAGTGGTCATACCAGTGGAAAATTCAACAGTTTAGTTTATGCTGCTGTAAAAAATGTAATGAAATGTACTCTTTTGGGCTTGATTTAGAAAAATCACCACTGACGTCAATTCCATAAATTAGTAATACTATGTTAGACCAAGGTCATTTTCATATTAAAAATAAGAAAAACTAAATCTGAGTCCAAATAACATTAACAGGCTGCTCTCAACTTCAGACATAGATAGGAACTTGCAGTGGAAGTAAAATCTTTATTCTTGACCATGAAGAATTCATAGACCTTACTGAAATTACAGTACACAGGATGTAACCTTGTTACTAAAATCACATAGATATACTTTGATAATTTTTAATAGTCCTAGCACAATCTTACCCCAGTTGTTGTGAGCTTTTGTGGATGAAGTTTTTTCAAAGTGAACTACAGTCATCTAGGTTTACATGTGCAGTACACACGATTAATCTTGCAGTAAAGGCTGCTTTTGGGACAGAAAATTTCGTTCATCACAAATCATTCCACAGCTTGTTTAATTGAGAAAATGATCAACAGACCTAAACTAAATTCAAGGGCATTTGGACCCACCTTGGGAGTAAGAGGTTGGTATTTTCACTTGGTTCTACATCCTTTTTATGTGTTTTTATAGAACTACTGAAAAAAAAAAGTGCTGACTTTCAAAGAATAGAAAAGAAAAAGAAAAAGAAACAAAGTGAGGTTATGCATTGTGGGTACCTCTAAGAGCAGGAAGTGGGTCAAAAGGACCACATAGGTCCCTGTTTTTTTCTGTTATTTCCTTTCCATGAAGAAAAACAGCAACAAAAAGACTGCAATTGTTTATTCATACTGGAATACTGTTCATGACTTACCTCCCATTGTAGCTGTGATGGTCTACTGTATAGATATGTATTTGGACAAATTGGAATAGCTATTTTATTTATGAAATAGACCATAAAGACTCCTGTGGAGTTTTTGACACCACACCTTGTAATGTGTATTATATCAAGCTGCACTATGCAGCAGTTATGAGGAAAGTCCTCTATGGCTATACATTTTTTACAGAAAACCTAATGAAATTCTATTATGTGTGTTCTGTAGCTAGTTTTTAGAGGTTAATAATGTGTTCTGTTTGATTTAGGGCTTAATTCAGCATATGGGCTAATTACATTCAAAGTTTCATTTTATTTTTTAAAAGCTGAGATATTTTTGAATTATAGATCTGCAACCAGAACACCCTTCACTGGTAAACTTGTGTTTTTTCCTCCCTCTCCTTACTTAGAAAGTGTCCAGACCGATTTTAGTTATAATTTAAAGTATATTTTTCTTGGCCACTCTTAACTACCTACAAGCCCAGCAGAGTGTGACCAGACATCTGGACATCTTGGACTTCAATTGACTGCTCTGATCTCCTGAAAAAACAAAACAAGCTATTCCATGAGCACCAGAGCTAACAGAGCCTGGTTTCCTATGGATTTGTGTCCCATTTCCTTTATATCCCAACAAATAATAAACCCAGCTAGAGACAATATATCCTGTGGCTGGTCTGGAGCTACAAGTGTGCTAATTGCCCAGCCAATACGCGCGTGCTCTTGGCTGGTCAGGATGTGTGTGCTGACTGTCTGTCTGGCCTCCACCACGCAGTATATATATTTTGCCTTTCTAAAAAGGCTAAATACTGTCTGGGGGAATGGAGGCACTGGGTGGAAGGCAGAAAGGTTCTTTTTGGCAACCACTTAGTTTAATAAGTGGTTCTTACCTGTACTCAGCATACTACTTACTAGAAATGAGTGGTCTTTCAGACTTTTATCCCTCCACATTGGCCAAATAGGTTGTGATTTTTTTTTCTTTATGAGAGTATGTTGAAACTTAGGAAATGCTAATGTGTTCTTTTCCATGCTGTTGCTTTTTTAGCTTCCTTTTTTGTACAGCTACATGTGTTTTCAAAAACACTGCCTTTTCTAATGAAAGTCACTATTTCATTTGAATTGGGAGCATGATTTGAAAATTCAAGGAAAACATGCCAACAGTTCTATAGTGTTCACTTTCAGCACCTAAATTCTATTATTAGTTGGCAAATGAGCTGTAGAGCCTTAGGTGGGAGCTGAGCAAACTGCATTAATCACACGTGTAGTTTAATATTTTAGTCAAACGTGAAAGTGTGAAGTCTGTATTTAGTTGTTAAAAAACAAATGTGAAAACTACCAAGATCCCAAAAGTTTTTATGAATGTCAGAATATTGATTTGGGAGCAACATGCAGGATTTTCAAAAGACATTTAATGGTGTTTGCTTCCAGCTCTCAATAATGTTTAATCAGAGTTGAGTGCCTGAGGTGTTTTGAAAATCACAGGCTCCTAAACATAGCTCTGGGGCCCTCTTTTGAGAAATCTGTGTTTTTCAAGGATAGACAGGGAATGGGTAAATTTGCATTCATGTGCAGATCTAGATGAGCAAAAGAAGACACCAAAGATCATGAATGCCACATTCAAGATGAGGAAGAGGCAATGTTTTTTCATTTCCTTTGCTCAAGGATGTTGTAGATGCTAAAAACATTTTTGGACTGGAAAAATTCACAGAAGACATTTCTATCAAAGGTTACTAAATTAATAGAAACCGTGTTTAGCTCAGAAAGTCCCTAATCTGAAAGTAGTTGGAGGTTGGGGAGTCTCAGGGGGTAATATTGTGTAGAATAGCCCTTTTCTAGCTCTGCCTTAGACAGCTGACACATGGAGTGTTGGCAATAAGCTGGGAACAATTTACTGTAGAGAAAAAAGGGAAAGATCTACGCCTGTGACCCTATGCCTTGCTATCATAAACTAGTAAAATTCATACTCCAGGGTTGGGAAACCTAACTTTGGTGATGCAGCAGCACCTCTTCATCTGTTATGTCTCAAGAGAGAAGAATGTCACACAATCCTAACTAGAGATCAGTGCTTCCAATAGGTTTCAAAAATTGCCAAGTAAAAAGACTGGTTTGTTTCAAAAAGAAAAAAGAAAAGAAAAAAGAAGAAAAAGAAGAAAAAATAAAAAGAAGAAAAAGAAGAAGGAAAAGGAAAAAGAAAAAGGAAAAAGAAAAGAAAAAGAAGCAAACCATAAAATATGATGTGATTGAAACTCTCCCAAAAGGAAATAAACAACAACTCAAAAGCTAAAAATGGCAGGAATTCTTTTCATGTTGACAGTCTTGTTACACCCAGTATTTAAGGTTTATTTCTAGGCCAAGCAGTATTTCTTACTGGCAGTGCCTGAGTTATCACACACACTCTTGCAGGCTGTGGATTTATTTTTAAACCCAACAATTTTAGCAAACCTTTCAAGAATGTTTTACACAGTGATATCAGAGAATCAATTATTCAGACTGTTTTTAGGTGGATTTTCCCTCTTCCATTTCCTTGGTTATTAAAGAAAACAGCAAAATTTGGATCAGACCTTCAGCTATCCAGTCCAAAATACATTTTTAACTGCATGGCATCAAATTGACATATGACGTGACATGATGTAGCATAACATAAAACAACATTACTCTGCATAACACATTAGAAATTAAAAATAAATATTTCCTTTGGATCCCATTGGTACTATCAATTTTTCTTGCACATCTCTAAATTATGTTTGTTCCTCTCATGTCTTGCCTCTTAGTCACTTGCCTAGGTGAAGAACCAGCCTCCTCCTCCCAGTAGGTTGGTTAAAAACATGTACAACATACCCACATTCTTCGCCTTTAGAAACAGAGAAAAATCAGATCTTTCCTCTAGAATCTTCACTGATGTTTGGCTGATGTTTTTTCATAAAAGTTTTCATAAAAGTTGTCATTAAATTTAAGAAAAAAATTAAAGCTGGAATAGTTGAAGTACAATCTGAGCTGGTAATAACGTGTACCTTAATACTCATCATGCAGATACTTAGATGCATACATAAGGAAATCAAAAGCATGTTAGTATGATTTAGTAACGGGAAAAGTCAGATGGTCTCCATACAAAATCTGTAGATTATTTTTCCTATTGGTAAAAATGATGTTATTAATTAAAAGCCTTATGGCTCCTGCCAATTTATGGAGAACCAATTAATCTTTTAATGAACATTGGAAAGCAGTTATTGACATCCTCATTGGTATCAGTGGGGAAAAGAAAACTCACACAAGTGCAAGTTTTTAAAAGCACTCTTTTGCTAAATGTCTTGGTTTTCAGGGTCTGCCTAAAGTCTGTCAGGCCTGTTTTCTGGAGATGTTGATCAAATATGGATAATTTTGATTTCTAATGGAGTTGTCAGTATGATGTCCTTAAGAAATTGAAACTTTTGGTCCCTAGTTGCCAGACACTCCAGTAAAGAAGAGTAATAATGATGCCAAGATGAGTTACTGGCATAGCTAAAGAAGCATGCATGTGGCCAATTAGGGGTAAAGTACAAATCACCCAGGTCTCAGCTCTGTAAAGGCTCTGCACCATGCAGTGAGGGGAAAGTGAGATTAGGCTTTAGGAGGACATTTGTTGTAGTAGGGACAGGCCAAAACTACAACAGGTTGCCAGAGGTGGCAATGGAGTTGCTGTTACTACTGCTCTTTATGGGCAGGTTAGATAAACATCTGTCAGGAATAATATAGGTGCAGGTGATTCTTAATTGCAGCTGGAGAAAAAAAAAAGGTAATGTCTCCTGGGGCCTCCTTCAGCTCCATTTTCTGTGTCTCCGTGTAGGTTTCCTTAGGTGCTCTTTACAGCTAGAAAAACACCAGAAAGTTTACAGTTACTGTAGCATAGCACTCTGCCTATGCTGAAAAGACTCTGTTGGGAAAGGTTTATTGTGTAGTTAGAATTGTATTGCACTCCATGGGAGGAATTCCCTTCCCCTTATCCGTAACATTCATGTCTCTTTCTTTTTGTAGATTTGAATTTAGCTTTTTTTAAGCTGGTTTTTCGAGCAAACCATTGTTATTTAAACAGACATCATCTTTCAAAAGCAGCCTTAGCCCATGGGTATACAGCTGGCAATAGCAGTGTGCATTTCTCTGCCTTGAGACTCCTTCTTCCAGGAATACCAGCAATGTGGTTAGAACCTATTGTTATACCAGAAGGCTGCAAGGCAAATATATTTGCTGCTGTCTTTGGTTGTGAGGCAATTCAATCAGTTGCTGGGTAGCTACAGGGTAACTCAGCATCATTGCTATGAATATGGAAATGCTCTGTCTTTGGGCTGTGCATTCTCTGACCAGTGTATGGCTTTAAACATCTATAAGAGATCTTTATCCATTTGTATTGATGCAGCTGATGGTAGAGACACCATACTCTTTGGCAGTCATTGCATCATCCTAGTCATGTACTACTGACTTTTAGTTGGTAGTGTGATGTCAATAACTACGACAAGTCAGTTGTGTATAAACAACATATACAATAGCTTGTAACACTGAAAAAAAAATGCTGGTTCTACAGGTATTTTGGGGAAAAAAAGGAAAACACACCTAGTTTATAAATGTACAATATTGATAAGTGTATATATGTAAAATATGAACTGACCCAGCTCCCACTAAAGTGATCTGATGGTTTTTGGTTTCAGGGAGTCACTGAAATTTGAAAAAATTCACAGGCATGGCATTGTAATAACCTAAACTGTACGTTATGTTTAAGGGACAAAGCTGCAGGTTATCCTTCCTATGCTGCCCCAGGAATGAACTGGCTTTTGTTACCAGCCACTTTGGGAAAGTGTTCTAAAGCAATGAAGCTTTTGTTTTTCAAAGATATATTTAATCCTTATGGGCACCAGTCAAAACCTACCCTGTAGAGCAGATAGATTAGGTGGGAGCAGTACCTCTAAGTTCTTATCAACTGCTTTTTTCCAACTTTGATTGATATGGCGCTTTTGTTTCTCACTCACCTGCAGAGCCTGGAGTTTGCACTGTATTTGGAGATCCTCACTACAACACTTTTGATGGACGGACATTTAACTTTCAGGGAACATGTCAGTACGTTTTGACGAAAGACTGCTCCTCCTCTGCCTCACCCTTTCAGGTGCTGGTAAAAAACGATGCCCGTCGGACCCGTTCTTTCTCCTGGACAAAGTCAGTGGACCTTGTGTTGGGCAGAAGCACAATCAGCCTCCAGCAGCACCTCACAGTGAAGTGGAATGGGACCCGAATTTCACTACCTTGCGAGACACCGCAATTTCACATCGATTTGGATGGTTATTTGCTGAAAGTGACAACCAAAGCAGGTAAGACAAGTACATGTGTGTCTGTGTATGTCTTCTTTCTCTCTGAAGAACTTCTGAAGTTCAGCATGAACAGTAGTCAGTAAAAAAACATGATAGCAGTAATAAACATCATTATAACTCTTTAGAGAGCAGAGAAACCCACAGCACTTTCAAAATTCCCACAGCCCATAAACAGACAGAAATCCCAGCTATGAGTTTGAGCCTGCAGGATATTGCTAAGGTGTGTTTCATTCTGTGGCTGAAAATTAGCTGCCCAAACTGACAAATGTGCCATGACTTTCACTTAAAAGTGGCTTATGGAGAGTATGGTGGATTGACCCTGGCTGGACATCAACCAAACATGCCCATCGAAGCCACTGTATCGCTTCCCTCCTCACCTGGACAGGAAAGAGAAAATGGAGTGGAAAACTCGTGGTTCAAGATAAGGGCTGGTAGATATCACTCAGCAATTACCATTGTGGAAAAAAATAGACTCAATTTGGGGAAATCAGTTTAATTTATTGCCAATAATATTAGGATAGGATAATGAGAAATGAAGTTAAATCTTCAAAAAGCCTCCACTCTCCAAATCCCCTTCTTCACAAGCTTAACTTTACTCCTGATTCTCTATACCTCCTCCTGCCCTGAGTGGTGTAGGGGAAATGGGATTTGCAGTCAGTCCATCACACATATTGTATCTCCCAGTTCTTCCTCCTCAGGGGGAGGACTCCTCACACATTCTTTGCTACAGCATGGGGTCCCTTCCACCAGAGACAGTCTCTGCAAAGTTTTCCGATGTGAGTCACTCCCATGGGTTGCATTTCTTCACAGACTTCAAAAACGCAGGTCCCTTCCACAGGGTGCAGCCCTCCAGGAACAGACTCCAATGTGGAAACGTGGATTCCCCATGACGTCACAAGTCCTTCTAGCAAATATGCTCTAGGGTGGTCTCCTCTCTTCATGGCTTCTCACAAGGTCATAGTCTCCTGTCATCCATCTGCTCCAATGTGGGGTTATCCAGGGGCTGCAGGTGGATATCTACTCCAGCATGGACCTCCATGGGCTGCAGGAGGGCAGGCTTGTCTCACCGTGGTCTGCACCCTGGGCTGCAGGGAAATATCTGCTTCAGTACCTCATCTCCCTCCTTATCTGCTGACTGAAGAATTGTTTATCTTACACTCTCCCTCCTCTTTCTGACTGCAGTTGCACAGTGCTTTTCTCCCCCTTCTTAAATATGTTATCTGGGAGGTGCTACCACTGTTGCCAAGGCCAAGCCCATTTTGGAGCCAGCTGGAATTGGTCCATCTCAGAGACAGCTGCAATTGGCTCTGTCTGACATGGGGGAAGTTTCTGGCAGCTTCGCACAGAAGCCACCCCTGTAGCTCTCCTTCCAAAATCTTGCCATACAAACTCAATACCCGCTATCATTTGTTACTTACAGATAGGAAAAGAGAGAATATCTGTTCTTAAACATAAAATTAATGTTTTTCAAAGTTGCAGCAACATATCTTGCAATTAAGGTGATCAATTATATATTCGTAGTTATAGATGGCTGGAATGAGTTTAAGTTGTAAAATTATGGAAATATTTCACAGGGGCTATCCAGCAAAATGGAGGCACTGGTTTGAAAACAAGGCCTAATATACTGTTCAGTGCCATCTTATTTGGCTTGCTTTGTGCCCAAGTAAGAAGTTGTCTGCAAGGACCAAACACCACAAGCAAGAGGAAATGAGAAACTTTATAGAATTTTTTCACCGGGTGAAAAAAAATTGGAGAAATTTCTGTTTCAGAAGGATTTTTAAAAAAATAGGTGCTTTCCCACTGTAGGGTGAAAAAAGAGAGGGAGGAAGTAATGCAAAATAAGCAAAACTGCTGCACTAGAAGTAAAATTTCCACCTTATTTGTAGAAACAGGGAAGGCAAATAGCATTCTCTCAGGTCTTTTGAGTCTTAGAAAATACATTAATTGACAAAATGTTAAATCAGAGGACTTACTTTTGTTTTGATAAACTGTTCTGAAACTATAGTATCTTTGCATAGATAAATACTGAGGGGAAGTTTAAAACTTTCTCATTAGCATGTGTTAGGTACTACTGTAGTCCTGAGAGATTTCTCTTACACAGTGAAGTACTGTTTCAGTGAGGATACTGTTTACTGTTAATTCAATTAAATGCCATGTGAAAGCAGTGAAACCAGTCTTTCTTCTGGAGTGATATGGTCACAGGCGTGACACATAGTCATTCTCATTATCTAGCATAATTTTTTTTCAGGGGGGACACTAGCACCCACTGTTGAGCTGAGAATTTAGACACCTGTTCATATTGCCTCTGGAAAAGTGAGTCTGCATAGCGGGATCCCGGCTCTGGGCTCATTCCTCAAAGTGGCAATGCAGATTTTTGTGGCTGTCTGTAAAATGCACACAAGTTGACCATTATTCACAACTTCTAATTAGAAGCATCTTGAGGGTTTTTCTTTGCAGCCAGCTGAACACCATGAATTCAGGCGATGTGGGTTTCATTAGCCAACCACAGGCCAAGGAAAGGTTTTCAACTGAAGATGAATGACAGCTAATCCTGCTGCTATTTCATTTGTCTCTGGTGCAAGCCTAATAAATGACTACACACATCTTTGTCCATGTGTTGGCAGAGGGAGTGCAAACATGGCATATGACAACATACCAAACAGTGTGTAATCACTGCAAATTATAGCCTAAATTCCTAATTCCTCCCCTTAACGGAGCAGGATCAGGTTTCTCTTGCTGAATACAGCATGATGGGCCAAGTCCTACTTTCTTCAGCACATAAGGCCTCAGAAGTAGCAGAATGACCTGGGTCCGTTTTGCTGGGAGAGGACAAGCAGCAGAGAGGCTGTAGAGAGGAAGAATGTGCTGAGTAGAACTGGTTTAAAGGCAAACATTTTGTTTCAGAGGAAGTTCTGAGTATCGAGGGAAAAAATTGGACAAATTTCTGTTTCAGAAGGAACATGGATTTTTCAAAAATATATGCTTTCCCAGTGTAGGGTGAAAAAAGAGAGAGAGAAAGTAATGAAAACGAAGCAAAACTGCTGCACTAGAAGTAAAATTCAAAGTAAAATTGGGCTGGGAAATGCAGGGTCTGGTGCTTACAGCTCAGCCAGCATTCCCATGGATTTTGGTTTTCCTTTTGCAGAGCTGCGAATTGAGCCTTGGATAAAACAGACGAACCCAAAGATTCAGGAAGTCTTGTGGTCCCTGGCTACAGGGCAGTGTGCATGGCAGGGCAGTCTTGGAGTTTCATACCCTGATCATTCAGGATTCCAGGCAGCCCACCAGGCGAGCTGGCAGGAAACCAGCTTGGAGCCTTGCCGGTGCTGTGTTGGAAGTTCATTGAATACGATATGTCTCCCTGAAGCATTTCAGTTCTGATGAATTGGCATTTTCCAGTGAAAACCTGTTTTGTTGCTAAATTCCTCACCAGCTGTAGCCCTGGATGGCATGCAGCAGCAGTCCTTGCACTCTGCACTGACAGCTATGGGTGTGCTTGGGATGTATTGAGTCCTTATCCAAATTTGTGTGCTAGAAAGACAAAAGAGTCTTTGGTAAGTAACACAGGGCTGGTGTTACTTACCTATTCCTCCATTGCACAAGCATTTCGTTGGTCTTGTTTCTGCGCTATCTTTTGCACCAAGCCATTTTGCTGCACTTTTTCTGTACTACTTTGGCATTAAATATTTAGGGAAGAGTTGTTTGCCAGTTCTTGAGGATGCTTTTAAATCTCAAGGATGCCGTGAAAAATCATGCAGAACAATTGATGAGAGTTCCTATAATGGGGAACTCAGTGTGTGATATACATAAATCCAGAAGGATTTTTTTTAATGGAGTAGAGCAGACAGTGTGCCAAGTTAAGAAATCAAGTAACAAGTTAGTTAAGCATCCTTCAAAGAGAGGGAATAATTGGAAAAAATGAAAAAGTAACTCAGAGAATATTCCTTTTTTGCACATCCCCAGATGGGACAGATGTTGCATCCTTTGGCTTCTCATCTCTTGGTTTCTGATTCTTGTCCAAGTGAATGGGAAACTCATTCATTTTGGGCGGGGGGAAGAAAGGGGGGGATATAGGCACCAAGAAAATCTTCCACAGTTTCTGCCTGCCAACGAGACCATTTCAAACACTGCTCTGTAGCATAATCCCATCTGTCACAGTTCTTATTGGTTTACAAAAATGAACTGGACTTTCTGCTTGTGAACAAAAAAAAAAGGCACACACTGCACAGTGTGATCAGGCTCCAACAAAATTATCATGCATGTAGGGGTAAATACCCTTCCTTGTTACTCCAAAAAGGAAAGAGTTCTGTTATGGACAGAAACCTTTAGGCTCTTCATCAAAGCCAGAAATTACCCTTCTATGAGCAATTACAGCAGAATAAAGTGTAATTAAGCCATACCAGCTAGAGGAAAGTACATCCATGTGGCAGTTACACAGTGAGTCTCTTGAATGAAATCCAGTAATCAAGGCAGGAATCTCTAGATTTAAAAATGTGCATTTTTATATGCTGAGAAGAAAAGCCATAATTTCATGTTATTTTTCTTCTGCATATCTGCATTTCTTTTGCAGGTATACAAAAGCAACATATAACATGTAAATTAACTCAGGGAAGGAGGACATAAATGTTCAGAAAAAATTTAAAGTTAACCTTTCTTTATTAATGTGTTTTCACTGAAGGTCAGTAAGTTTTGTCTTAAGAAAAAAAAATAGTCTTAAAAGGAAACTTAAGGTAGAATCCTTAGCCAGTCTTTCTGACTTTGTTTAAAGTAGGGAGCTTCTGAGGGAGCTTCTCTGGGGAAAAACTTGAACTCAGCCTTAAAGCTATAGTTATTTTCTGAAAAGAACTGTCTGAGAATTTGGATCTTGATGCTTTAAACTTTGAGAAAGTTTATGTGATTCTCAAGTCTGAAGAAATTTTGGTTTATAAGTTAATGGCAAGTATTTTCTAAATGCCAGCACGACATTATTAATCTTGTGTCTGCAAATCAAGCTGTGTTTTGTTTTGTTCAGTGTTGTCAGAAGCAAAGACAGCTGGATTTTGAATTTGTCCAGCAATGATAATGTATGAAGCAGCTTAAAAGTAAGCTTTCCCCCTTGCCACTGTGTTGGCCTCATTAACAGTTGTAGTCTTGCACAATTTCTCAGTTGGCTGGGTGTAAAGTGCCTTTGGAGGAGGAGACAGTGGCCCCATCCATGCTGGGTTTATGAGGTAATTTGAAACTGATTTCAGGCATAGTTAACTCAGGATACATTTGTGCTACCATTGCTAAGCTATGGTGGTAAGAAAACAGTGTAATAGACTGCAGTGACAGGTAATGCAGAATTACCTTCACAGCCTTGATGAGTAAATCATTCCCAAAACTCTTGGAGGCATGGTGTAACCTACACCAGCACTGGGGCAGGATGTTAAAATGGACGCACCCTTCTATGGCCATAATTTCCTCTTGAACCTCACCCTGTTCCTCTGCAGCATGGGTAGGAATTGTCATAGGAGACAATGGGATGTGTTGCTGAAAGAAGGGTTCCAGCTTTGAACTGAGTCACTGGTATGTTAATTACTTGCATGAGGATAGGGCAGGATTTGGATCAGACAGTGACAAGCACTGATTTACCAGGGGAAAGGGTGGTGCTAAACCAGCCCACACAGCAAATGAAGAAACCTGGAGCGAAGCCCTGGTCCTGCACCACAGAATGATACTCTTTGGTATTCTCGGATAAGCAGGGGGAACAGGGTAAAGTCTGGATTATCCTGTAGAAAAGCAGGATCCTGTGTTTATCCTTAACTAATGGCTGCTCACAGGTATTTTATGAGAATAAGTTAATATCAGCAAAATGATTTGTGATCTTCAGATGCAGGGTTCCTGCAGATGTGATGTGGAAGGATTCAGGAGACAGTGGAAGTAATTACAAGAAAGGCCATTTTTTGGGTAGACGTTAAGCAGCAATGTTTCTTGGTGTTGCTTTTATCCCAAATGATATCACAATGGTTTTCCCTTATGAGCTGCCTATTTACTCCTCAAAGAATGGAATCCATTTAATTTACAGTCACTCAGGTAAAAACTAGAAGTTTAGTCTCCACATGATATCTGGCCCCTCTAGAGTATCTCTGGGAACAGAAAGACATTCAGAAAATAGTTTATTTCCTCTGCATTATACAATCCTGTTGTGATCCAGAGCTGCCTATTTTACTCCATCAAAGGGCCTTGACGGCTGACTTAAACTAGACACCTAGCTTTTAGATGGGTACAGGCAGATAAAATGGAAGTCACTCACAAAAAGTAACTCAGGTTTTGATGTTCCAGAAGTGCTAAACCTTCCTGTAAAGCAAATTGTAGGAGAGGGCTTATATCCCAGCCACTAGATGAAGGTTAGATGTTTACCATAATTTCTCAGTTTTGCTAACTTATGCAGACAAAAAGTTGGTAATTAATGTGTTTTGAGTGAACAATTTGAATCCAATTCAGAATGCTTTCTTACAACAGTTTTGCTGTCTGATATGTCTTTGTTGGAATCTTCTAAACTCTTTTTACTCCCGCAAAATAAGGTAACTTGTCTTGGAACAGTTGTATTCACCCCAATGAGTGACCAGTGTCAGCTTTGTAGGCTTTGTAGGCAAGAATAGGATGTTTCCCATAAGGTTATGGCTGGAATCTCATGGGTCATGGACATCTTTGTATTACCACTACCTGTGCAATGGATAACAATGGTTGAAATTCTGGGCCCCCTGCATAATCAGCTAGAAATTTACCATAGCAAATTAAATTTCCAGAATTTTGCAAGAGCCCTCCTTTGATATTGATATCCTGCCTTGGCTCCATATTTTTTAGGATAACCCCTTTCATTAGCAAGAAGGAACAAAAATAAGAAGAGATAGGCATGCATGTATTGTAACTGGCTATAATTTAAGAAACACTTCAGTTGCCAGAGGCACTTACTGGGAACTCTATAGAAATCCAACAGCATTATCAGAACTAAGCCAGTGGCTTTGGTCAGGTTCCCATTAACACTGTTGCACAAACATAAGGTGCAGTTTGTTATCCTCAATTTCTTCCTCTCTCTCTTTCTCTCTCTCTCTCTTTTTTTTTTTTTTTGTCTTATCTTTTTATCAGGCTTGGAAATCTCGTGGGATGGAGACAGTTTTGTGGAAGTCATGGCCGCACCTCATCTGAAAGGCAAACTCTGTGGTTTGTGTGGCAATTACAATGGGCACAAGCGAGATGACCTGATTGGGGGGGATGGGAATTTTAAGTTTGATGTGGATGACTTCGCTGAATCCTGGCGTGTGGAGTCCAATGAGTTCTGCAGCCGCCCGCAGAGGAAACCTGTACCCGAGCTCTGTCATGGGACAGTCAGGGTGAAGCTCCGAGCTCATCGGGAATGCCAGAAACTCAAAGCATGGGAGTTCCAGAGCTGTCATTCAACAGTGGATTATACCACCTTTTACCGGTAAGCGTGGCTTGCTGTGGAGGGATGTATTAAGTTACTGTGTGATGAGAAAAACCAGGCAGTAGGCTCAGTTTCAGTCTCATCACACCAGGCAGTAGGCTCAGTTTCAGTAGCACTTGAATACATGTTGAGATATGTTTGTTTGTTAAGAATTAATATACAAGCTTATATTATGGGAGGTTGTCTGAGTCCAGAACCAGAAGAAGACGGTCCTGAGCAAATAGACCTGAGCAGCCAACAGAGAGAAAAGCAGGCAGGCTTGTGATAATTTAGAGAAAAAGTACATTTGGAGACTGAAGAAAGAGGGAGAAGAGACTTCAAAATATTTTTGTAAACTCCCTCTGATTTCAAACTCAATTGTACAGTTGAGTCTGACTTCAATTGCTGTTTCTTGTGGTCCACAGAAGTGTGTCTTCCCAGAAACATTTTGAAAATTATTTTATTAAAGCAAGAATATTAAATATGTCTAATGCCTCTTGGATGCTGTGGTTTGTGGCTTGAGAATTATAAAGAGGAGTTAACAAAATATTCCATGCATGGTCTGTCCTGCTCTGGGAGAAAAGAAAGACAGATTGAGGATCTAGAATTCTTGTCTGAGTGAATTATTTAAGATTTTTAATCTTTAAAATGGTTAAAGTCTAAGCCACAAAGACATATTTTTCGTTCTTTAATTGGCATGAGTTTATTTACCCCTCAATCAGTAAATACAATTGTCCATTCTTTTTGTGGCCTGACATAAAAGGTAAGAGCAAGCTGGGTCACAGTTGTATGGTTGTGGAAGCTGCCTGATCTCTGTGCTCCCACCTTTCCCCACTTGGTCACATTCACTGAACTATTTGATTTATTAGGAGAAGCTTTCTACAGTGACTCAATTTCCCTAATGAATTGCCTTTCCTCTTTTTTTATAATGAGGCAGAAAGACGTTTATCTAACCCAGCAGAATACATCTGAGACTGGGAAATGCTAGAAGAAGACATACAGCTTGTCTTGTAGTCTGTGTGCTTCTGCACTTATTTTGCTATGGTATATCCCTGTGCTAGGAGCCTAAAGGCAAAGAGTAAAGATTATGTTGTGTGCAGGTTATGATACTTTATCTTTTCAATGGCTGAAGGCACAACAGAGAGCACTAGAGAAGCTAACACACACACACAGGGTCTGTTGAATGCATTTCAGCAACATTCCCATCTCACTTCCATCGTCCTTTAAAGGTAAGTGGTGACAATGCAAATGGAAAACAGGTGCAGAGAGATTTGTTTAATTTTGCAGTGGATTTTTTGTTCCTTTTTTAAAGTAGCTCATGATGAATTTAGTGCAATACACTTCCTGACACCACAGCAGAAAGTGATTTATATTTTGGCTGCAACAGTAAAAAAAAATCTACATGCTTGCACTCAAGAATCACCATAGAGCTTTTCTGTTCCTTTAAAATGATATCTAATGTTTGTCCTGGAAAGGCAATGAAATCAAGCAAGTATTTAATTTGTGTCCTTTTGTAGAAAAGTGTATTTTTCCCTCAGGAAACATTACATTGAAATGACCATCATATTTTGTCAGAAGTAGTTGTTGTTGCCATTTTGATGTTGCTAGCTGTTAAAATGCTCAGCTTCCAACAGAGGAATGAAGATAAACTATAATTTATAGCTAAATAATGGTATGCAATAGAATGCTGCTTCTTGTTAGAAACTGATAAAGTTGTAGCAAGAAATTTTGTCAATGACCATGGTCATTTTTCATACCAGGAAGAGTCCACAAGGAGGTAATGATTATAGGACACACATTCAAGAAATATTTGCATATTTCATTAATTCTGTTCAGAATTCTGTTAAGAATTAATGTAAAGAACTCATTACTGGTGATGTGCTTTTGCAGGATATTTAGATTTACATTGAAAGAAATTCAAATTAACACAGCTTTTAACTGAGGTTTTTTTGGAAAGGCATATTTAGTCAATGTTCTCTAATTTCAGGGTAAGATTAACTAAAATTTTTTAAATTCTGCTTTTTTAACTCTGAGCAGGCTCCTAGCAGTAAGAAAAGGGAGGAGGCAGAATGATAGCGTTAGATTACTTTTTTTCTTCTCCCAGTGTCCTCATTGAATTGAATAGCTTCTCAGTTTTTACTGTCCAACATTACATATTATGGAATTTTTCCTTTTGAAATACTATTTTTCAAGAGTTAACCTTTCTTGGTAATTTTTGTCTGTATTAGTGACTTTGCTTCATTTTCATTTTGCTTCTTGGGTACTGACCTGCTGTTAATAAAAATTCTCAGAAACAGAAATAAACTCAGCAGGAACATTAGGAATTAGGGTGTGTTTTTTCCAAATACCAAAAAAGGCAGCGAACAATGGATTGCAAACTTTTGTTTGACATTGTTTTACTGAGGAGATTTGTGTGAAGATATCTCAAATTCATTTTAAGTCTCATTCTTTTTACAGCTGTAGTTTCTCCTTTTGCTGGCCATCCAAAAAACATACAGCGTGATTGTCATGATTGTTAAGTGAAAAGGATATAGTTCATGTTTTAGAGAGTAGAGATCTAGATGTATGTTGACTCCTGTGCTTGACCTTGAGAGAGCTGTGACACCTTAGGTTTTGTGCCTTGCCCTTAACCCTTTTTTTGTGATGTGACTTTGGTGATGTAACTTGTGTTACCCTGTAAAGCCTATGGCAGAAGAAAGTACAATGTAAGTGTGTGAGAAAGGACTTTGAAATAGTTCTGACTGCAGACTGAAAATTTTACACCACTTTTTAAGTTCTTTGTTTTGTAACTAAACACATTTTATGGTTTTTTTTTTCATTGTGGTTTGCTTTGTTTAGTTTGGGGCTGGTATTTTTTGTTTGTCTTCAATGCATTTCTTGTTCAGTACTCATGCGTAATAATCTAAAAATAACCCTTGGGGTTCAACTTTTTTTTAAGCAGGGAAACTATTTTGAATTTCTAGGAGATTTTGGTAAATCCTGTGTGAAGGAGAGATTAGCAGTTAGTGTCATCACCATTGCCACTTGTCTATTTTGATATTTCATTATGGCTAACCATCCCAGAGTGGTGCTTGGAAAAAAAAAGGTGAAAGAAAACTACCAAGGTTACTCAGTACCATGTATGCAATAAAGCTGTCACTCAAACTCCTGAAACTGCTCTTGAGTATAATCAGAACTAAAAATACGTGCTACTATCTCAATATTTTGTGCTGTTCTTAACAGAAAAAGCTGCTCTATCACATTATTGGGAAATATTATGGTACCATTTAAGCTCATGGATGAGGATTTGGGGATCTTGAAAAAGGAGAGGAGGACTTTCTGTTCTCACCAAACCCTACCCCATGGCTGATCTCATTGTGCATCTTTGAGCTGTGCTGTAGCAGGGGCCTGCAGGTGACTCCAGCAGGTGAGGCCAGGAGCAATGTGATCATGCAGGGCAGGTCACCAGTGTGACCCCACGCCTGCTTTGCTTGGTCACGTCTGATACCTCTCAGGAGCCTCCTTGAGAGGAGCAGGCAGCCCCTACCACAGGTCTAGGGACTAAGAGCCACAGCAATGCTGCTTTATGCAGGGAGAAATGTGGCTGCGGGAGACGCTGTAGAGGAAGGCACAGGACTCATACTCCCTGAACACCTGCCTTCATTAGCATCCATGGCTTTTTAGTAGCTTGGTGGGGTCTTTTTTTTAAGCAGTTGCATCAATGGATTTGGAATGTGACATCAAACATGATATCAGTGTATCACCCATCTCTAATACACCTACACAGCAGCTGAGCTCATAAATGACTAATTAGACAGTGACTGGGTCTCTCACTACTGCCACAACTTCCGAAAAATTCAGTATCTTGGTTTTGCTGTGCAGTAGATTTCTCTATTTCACATTGGAAAATTTGTGTCCCTACTCTTAAGAGTGTCTTTTTATGATTATTACTCTTCCTGTTATTAATATATACTTTTGCTATTGTTTTTGTTATATTTCAGCAGGCATTAGCACTCTGAATAATTACCTACTTTTTTTCTTTTTTGTAATTGTCCTGGGATTTCTCTTAAACACTTAAATCATTAGTGTTTAGGGCCATTCCTTGCCATTAGGGCAAGGAATAACTAACATACTAATAGCATCATTTGTTTGAATCTGTTAATCACAAGCATTCAATAACTGCAAATCTACTTTATTGGAATTGTTGACTTAAATGACCCTTGTGATCTGGTGTCATTACTTCATCTATAGTTCTGGGTTAATCAGTGAGTTTCTGTCTCAGTTAACCTATTAACTGTATGCAGTTAACTGCTGCAGTCTTGCAGTTTTTCTAAAAATTTCCACTTAGCTAGAGAAAATATTACTGCTTGGAGTTGAGGCATAATTTGCAACATTGTGTAGCCTGTTAGATCTCTGTTATTCAGATTGGCAGTGATACTATAAAATGGCTGCAGAGAACATGTGAGCATGTCAAAGATATTTACAAACTGTTTGAAAGATGGGGACCACAGGTTTGTGGCTTTGAAGCAAAAGGTTTGAAGGTCTTTTTCCCTGTTAACAATGATGTTCTACAGCTGTAAAATTCATGTGGTTATGCCCCTCTGTTCACTCAGCAGGATGGTACAAAAGAAATGTACGCTGAAGAATGACTTAAGAAAATCCTGTTTCAAGTGTTTAAGTGGTGGATGGAACTGAGATCTCTGGAACCCTTGGTTTACTGCCAAGGTGCAGATTAAAAAATTCTCCCCACAAGGTTTTCAGGTTCTGGCTATGCATTAGGGCACAGCAGTTGCTCTGGCTGTGGCCAGGCTGCTCCAGGGCTCCTGTGTAGTGTAAGTGCAGGGCAGCTGTAGCTCTTGGTGCTCACCAGGGTGACTCCTGTATTGGCTCCTGCTTCTGAACCAGCCTCCACATATGTCTTTCCACCCACCCCAGGGCAGAGCTGGCCTGTGTTCCCCTTCAAGACAAAGCCGGTGGTGTTGGCTCAAGAAAGGGACTGATGGCATGAAACTGTGACTGATCTGCTTGCAGACCTGGCACAG